GGGCTCTGCTTACACCTCCCCACGGGTAATGTCTGGAGATATTTTGCATTGCTAAGCCTTGGGAGGCAAGCAGGGGTAACTACATAATGAATAGTGAGCTAGGCTGCTGCTAAACATTCTGCAACACACAGGACAGCCTCCTACAACAGAATGACCCTGCCTGCCCCAAATATCCGTAGTAAAGCCCTGATCTAGCCCAGCGGCACCACCCACCCTCTCATACTCCTCCGGGCTTTCACACAGGGAGCTTCCTTACTGGCTCTGGGCTGAGCCACGCCCACTGCCTTAGGGAGAAGGATTGTGTGTGGTAGAAAGACCACGAGCTCCAGACCAGCATCAGTGGGGTTCGGTCCCACCACACGCAGGCCTGACTTAACCAGGCTGTGCCTTGGCTTCCTCCTTGAAAAACAGGGACAGTGTCCATTCAGAGGATCTGAAAGGGCCAAGAATAAGCCCCTCCACGCCCTATGGGTTCCATGCAGATGTTGTCTGTTGAGTTGTCCACATGCCCTGTGCTCTCCTACAAGGGCTTAATCTCCCTGTCGTGCAGTTGCTCATTTCATGATCTGTCTCTACCGGTTTGGACACTTCAGGACACGGGGACATGTGTGTCTTGCTCACTTTGGTGCCTGGGTAGCTCATGTGAAGGCATCAATCATATCTGAATGAATGAATGAATGGAAATAAAGCCTGAGATAATATGTGGACCATTTCCCATCATATGAAGTTTAAGTTTTTAAAAGGCATTTTAAGCTTTATTGAAATATGCGAGTAACTGATGTGTCATGAACTGCATATACTAAGGTGTGCAATTCCACACCTGTGACATAAGTTGCCCACTGTGGAACCATGCGCAGGGTGACAAACACACCTTCTGTCCCCAAAAGCTTTCTTGGCTTCTTTAGTAAGCCAAGAAAAGTTTGACAGAACTCTTCACAGAATCGCACACCTAAGGCCAAATCTGATCCTTGGTCTCAGTTTCCTCATCCGTATAATGGGGCATTTTGTGTGAGGTACATGTAAGGTGCCTCCCCAAAGTCTTAGCAGAGTGGGAAGAGACCAGCACAGCGGGCTGCCCGTATCTTTCTCACCCTCCCCAAACTCTCCTTGCCTGGAATTCTCTCCCTTTCTCCCACCGTGACAGCCTTCCTCCCTGTCATGTCCCCTCGGAGCCATCCATCTGGACATTCTCTCTGACCCTTCTCTCTGCCGTGCTTCTGAAGCCTTTACTGTCAGGAGCCCATAACTCAAGGTTTCTAACTCTTGCTTGATTTTACTTGTAGTTCTCTCTTTGTCCCTTCCCAAACACAGAGAAAGGAACTGATGTAAAGGTAAAATCTGTATCATCAATATTTTCCCTCTACTCCCTTTCCATTCCTGGCTCAAGGCTGACAGTGCATTCAGAAGAGGTTTGCTGACTTGTTTGTAAGAGGCTTTTCATCTAGAGGAATTTCATGTTATGCCTTTTTTCTAGTTCATCTTACACATACTAGTGTAACCGTATCTTTGATCAAACACTGCAGGGGAATGGACCACTCCGTCCGTCACTTCCATTGCTTGTTAGTGCCTGGATATTTCCTTTCATTTTATATCTATATGCACTGAGATTTTGTGCAAAGCTGTGACTCCAGCGTAGATGGAACCTGGCATTCTGCCATCTTCCCTCAATCTGCTGCCATGGGTGCTTTTTCATTTTGTGACACACTCTTCATAATTATCATTTTTTTAGTGGCTGCATAGTACTTTTTAATTTATTTTTTATTTTAAAGACAGTAGCAAATGAGAAACAAACAAACAAACAAAATAGAACAGTAGCGGCATACCAGTATCACGGACATAAACAAATCAGAGCAAGAACATTCAAAGTGATACAGGGTCTAAAGACAAAATAATACGAATCAACAGTGGTTGTTACATTGCATATCACTATCCTCAACTACACTGCTCAGATTACCAGATGTAAGAATGAAAGACTGCTCAAACCATTAAAGGGAATAAGAAAATAATTCTTCAGTAAAACATTAGAGATAATACAGAGTATCACTAGACAAGATAGTCATACTCAGAGTTCACCATTGCAATTCCATCGCATATTGTTACCTTCAAATCAGTTGCTCAGACCACCAGACACAAGCATACAAAATCGATCAGAACATAAAAAATTGTATGGCTGTGTAATACTTAAGCACATGGGTGTAGCCTAATCTATAGCACTGCTTCTCTTCCACTGGTGCCGGAGGCTGGCTCTGAATTTCCACTATTATAGACAAGGCTATATCTTGCTGATGTGCTCTCATCATGGCTCAGGAGCAGTGCTGGGTTCCAAAGCACGCAGCTCAGTGGCTGCAGTGTTGACCTGACTTGGGGCCGTTTCCTGCCAGCAGGAGGACCGGAGAGAGACTCTCACCATATTGACGGCTTTCTGGTCATTTTTAGCCTAACTGCAGGGTCTCCCCTTACAACCATAGTGAACTGTTAGTAGTCACACGTGCAGGGAGGTGGTGGGGAGCTGGGTCTCAGGTGCTGCTGCCCTATGCTTCTTCTGATCTGGGTAGACACCGCTGGTTCTCAGGCAAAGGAGCAGGCCAAGGGCAGCGAGGAGATGACATGGGAGATGAAGACAGGGAGGGCAGAAGCACCTGGCTATGGGATGCCACTTTCTCAGAGCACGTCTGCTCCCTACCCTCTTCTTATACCAACACAACCTACTGCCTGTCCACCCGGGCCTCTTTCAGGTTCCTAAGCACATGCTCCTCCCCTACTCAGAAACGCCCTTCCCTGCCAACTTCTCACCTCCACCCCCGGCTCATGTCATCCGTGCTCATTTCCATGTCTGACTGCCCCTTCTGCAGCTGTATGCAGCACTGTAATCTACTCCACCAGAGTGCCCAGCGAACACGTAAAGCAGTTACTTCCCTTTATAGGTTTATTTTTTGTCCCTTCCCCCCTAACGAGACTCAAGCTCCATGAGGACAATGAGTCTTAAGGGCATCATTGCTGGTCTCCCTCCACGGCACGGCAGCCAGCCCCTCCCAGACACTCAGCTCAGAGGTATGAAGAAGGTCCATGAATAACGAAATGATCCTGGCAGGAACATCTCATGAGGGGATGAGGGAAAAGATCATGGAAGGGGGCAATGGTAGCTTGAGTTCATTCTGCAAGCCGTAGCTCGAGAGACTCCAGTTCAAACTATGAAGCACTCCTTGGGAGCGGTGGCCCTGGACAAAGAGGAGTCCTTAACATTCCCCCTGTGATCTCTAAGCATCTCAGAAATGAGGCCAGCTCCTGAATCTAGTTTCAAAGCTCTCATTTGATGTCCTGCTGGAAATATGGGGACAATCTTAAATTATAAACAAATCTCTCCATTTAAAATGCTGAAAACAAACCCGAAAATTCAGTCCTCATGGATTTTCCAAGAAGCCTCCTAAGTTTCACCAAATCTGGTCTACGCTGATCTCCCCACACAACCAGCTCTCCCATCCTCTGGTCTTTCATTTCCCTGCCTTAATTTGTGATGTGGAGAAAATTGTTTCCTTACGAGGATGCTGCCTAGGAGACTTCATACATTTGAACCTTACAGGGAGAGCTGGAAAGTGGAAATGCAGAGACAGTGGCTCCTTTGCCACCTCGGAGTCCCTCCTGGAGCTATGAGCACAGCGGGCCCTGGGAATGAGCCCGGAACGCTGAGCAGCAGCTGGAGCGAGACACACAAATCATCTGGCATCCTGCTGGCAGCTGCGTTTCCCATCTGATTCCGAGTTGACACACACACCTGGCCACGACCGATAGCTTCGGGATCACAGGCGGGATGGGGATCAGGTTATAAACCAACACTGCCCCAGGAGATTAGGACTGCCAGCAGAGTGACCACCCTGCCTGCTTTCACTCTACATGCCTCCAGTGATCGTTCAAGGCCCAAATCTGCTCCTGTCACCACATTTGTCCTTCAGGAGCTTTTGGTTACCCACAACTTGGATTCCACCTTTCTAAGTTGTGTGGTCTTTATATGTACGTGACACCTGTCTCCTTGCCCACATTATCTCATGTCCCTCCTGCCCTCTCCTCCCCAGTGGTCTTTTGATAATATCCATGGCTACATCAGATAACCACACACCCCTCTTGCACCCTGATAAGCTTTTCTGCATCTCTCCAAGTCCCTGAGGCCCTCCAGTTCCTGAACATGTGCCCAGGACTCCCTTCCAAGCGCAGTCCCCTGCACACAGTCCCCTTCTTCCTCAGCATAAGCCTCACCTTTCAAAGAAGCACTCTGTACAGTGAAAGCACTGGCTTCCAAGTCCAGATGCCTGGCTTCAATCCAGCCCCACCACCTCCTACCTGTGCCAGGCCTGTATATTTCCTATTTACTTTTAGTAACATATGCCAAGGACCAAAGTACCAGAAACCCAGTTTGAGCATGTCTGACCCATGAAAACCTCCCACTCATGACCCTTCAGGGTCTTTTCCTGTCTGTCATCTAGATTTTTTTTTTTTCCCCCCTCCGGTACCGGGAACCGAACTCACGACCTTGCGCTTGCCAGGCAGGCGCTTTGTCGCTGAGCTAAATCCCCAGCCCCTCCTGTCTGTCATCTAGAAACAAAGGACCATAAGACCCAATACCATGATAGAACCATTAGATGAAATCATCCTGGGTCTGTGAGTCTCTTTACAGAAGATTATCTACCCAACATCTGCCTTGGGTTGCAGTGGGAATGGACGAGAAGTAACCTTCTATGTGTGAAGACAGTATAGTGACAGCCAGGGTAACTTTTAACACATTATTTCTATGAGTTCCTTAATGGCTTTGTTCCTTGGGAATACTAATAGTGTTGTTGAGAGGATCCGATAAGATAACACGTGAAGCTTTGGGCACAGAGCTATACTGCTAAGCCTACAATATAGGTTAACTCTTATTACTTCATTAGCCATCCTTTAAATGAATGTAATCATTCTCTGAGAGCCAAGCAAGAGCCAAGCCGGTGCTTGTGGAGCAGACCTCTTACCTTTTCACTTCTTGCACATAGTCTGCATTTCTGTCAAAGAGGTGGGTCACAGAGTCTTTGATTGCTTCATGCTTGAAAGTAGAAGCCGTCCCAAAGACAGTCACATTGGGGACAGTGCAACACAGCTGAGCCACAGCTTGGCCCTGGAAATGACATACAAACAGGCCGGTCATATTCGAGAGCTGCCATGTTAAATGAAGTATTGTATGACATATGACAGAGGTCAAGGTGGCATTAGTTGTCTAGCAACCCATCCCACTAAGTGCAGAGATTTCTTAACCTTGGTGCTACTGGCATTTTTAGATTGGATTAGTCTTGTCCTAGCAGCTAAACTGTGCTTTGTAAGTTGCTGAGTATCCTCCTTGGCCTCTACCTGGGAGATGCAAGTAGCACCTTACCTCTCCTAGCTGCGACAACCAAAAAATGCATCCAGGTGTGGTCTGGAGGACTAAACCTGACTGGCTGAAAATCACTGGTGTAGAGGAAAGTCAGTGAGGGTCAGACAAACCCCAGCACCAAGCCTCCACTATCAGTTACACACACAGAGCTATAAATTGGCAATGATGCTACGTGCTCCGCCGGGGAACGTCTGAGTTGGGATCTCCCAGAAGCAGACCCTGAGACAGACATTTGAATGTAAGCACTTATCTGGATGATGATCTCAGAAAATAACATGGTACTGAGACCATTGAAGAAGGTGGTCAATGAAGGGTGTGTTTTCAAGCCCAGATCCACCAGGGAACACTGCAGTTTCATGCTTCAGAGGAGTGTAAGCAAGTGTAGAATGGGCCCAAGGCTCATCCCAGCGAAGGGATGAAGAAGCTGGAGTATTCATCCAACACGTCCCACCCAACACTGACTGAAGACTGCTGCTGCAGCAACTCATGAGCACCTCTGGCCCATCTTCGTGGGCTGGGTGTGACCCTATGGCCAGACGGAAGCCTCCAGGAAACAGCTTCCAAGATGTAGAGTGCAGAGCAAATACTGTGTGGCCACAGCATCTGCTACAGGGAGATGTTAAATGAGGTATTATCTAATGCAGGGCAAGGACCTGGTACAAAATGTGATACTTAATAAATCTTAATTTTCTTCCACCATCGAGGGGCATACTATACCCAGGGTTGAGATGTCCAGACATATCAAGTAAAGGGCAACACGAATTTTAAATACTAAATGGCCCAGGGAGAAATTACAAATGCATTTAGGAGTGGATGGTTTTCTGTATCCTTTTTCAATATGGTTGAAATCTAAATCATCAGACAAAATATCACAGCCACACGTACTCAGCAACCTTCTACCAAAAGCCAATTTGCCCATAATTAAGATGCATTCTAAAATCCCTGTCTCTTTCCAGCATCCCACTTGCCATGTTAAGGAGGGAAATTATTCTCCCAAAGTCATCCATGATGTACATTTCTGCCCACCATCCTATTTTCATGTCTTCAGGTTGGTGGATAATTCAGGTTGGCAGGTCAATTTATTGAAATGTTATCACCAGTTGCAATTACTGGCAACATGGAGAGACTCTTAGAATGTCAGAGTTGGAAGATCATCTGCTCCCCATCACTGTCTTACAGATGAGAGAAAGGGCACCCAGAAAGGAAAAGGTCACAACTTTAGGAAGCACATCAGTCACTTTCAGAGCAAGGCCTCCTGACTCCCCTGATTGCCATTTCCTATTATGCCACACTGTCTGCTGATTTTAACATTTTAAGCTACACAGAGTTTTCCGCTGCTGCCTAAAATAGACATGTCACTGGCACATTCCCTCGGAGGTCAATGTTTCAGAACATGGGTGTGACCCTAAGACTCTACATAGGCTCCCATTCTCCATTCTAAGAATAGCTTTGATATTTAACTTTTTATCCCAGATTTTACAGAACAAAGATGGTCCTATCTTTCATAGTGAGTGCAAATATCAGCAAACAAAGCAACAAGTAGTTAAAATTCACTAGCTTCATCTAAGCCACGGTTGGAGCTTTGTGATAGGATTAAGCTAACCATATTAGATCTGGACTAGAAAGTTAGGATAATCTCAGTAGCCTCACAGACCCTTTTGCCCTCTGTCCTTAGGCAACATGACCTTCATTCATTTGACCGTTCTCAAATGCAGGGGGTCAGAAACTGTGGGCACACCTCTGTCATTTGGTCACGCCACTCACCGAGTCCTGGATTTGCATGTGTAACTACCATTTGGGCATCTGTCTCCACCTGGTCAAAACCACACATCAAACTCAACTGACCCAAAGCATAACTGATGAGCATCTTCAAAAGAGTTGAATTAGTTTGCTAGGGCTGTTGTAATGAAATACCACAAGGGGGTGGCTTATGCAACTAGCATGGTGCTTCACTTTCTGTGACAGTCTGGGACTTGCAATCCAAAATCAGGGCTCTAGCACGGTTGGTTCCTTCTGAGGGGAGCAAGGGAAGGATCTGTTCCAGACCTTTCTCCTAAGCTTATTGGTAGCCTTATTCTCCATCTCCTTACATCATCTTCTCTCACATCTATTTCTCATGTCCAAATTTTACCCTTGTAATGAAGTTACACTGGAGTAAGATCCACCCTAGTGACCTCACTTTAACTGTTTACTTCTGAAAAGATTCTGCTATACCTTGGATCTTAAATGATCCTCCAAAGCCTCTGATCGTGTGCTGGGGATTTGTTCCATCCTGTGACGCTATTAGGAGCTTGTGAGATCTCCAAGCAGTGGGAGTTTTCAGCTTATGGGGCGTGCTCTTAAAGGGGCCAACAGGACGCCAGCCCCTCCTCTCTGTCTTTGCCTCCTGGTCACCATTAGGTGAGCAGCTTCACTCTACCATGTCTGGTCTGGACAAACTGCTTGATCACAGGCCCCAAGACAACAGAGCTAATTTATCATAGGCTGCAAGCATCTAAAACTGAAAGACAAATAAATCCTTCCTCTTTGTAGGTTGATTTATCTCAGGTATTTGTTATAGAAATGGAACGCTGACAAATACTATCTTCATGTACAGTCCCATTCTGAGGGTTAGATAGGGCTTTTGGAAGGAACACAATTTAACCTGTGTATTTCTCCCATGCTTTCCCTTCTTCTGGGAACTAGAGCGAACTGTTCAACCACCAAAGCCAGGACCCTGGGGATCACCCATCGCCTCCCTCCACTGCCCTCACCCCACCACCAGCCAGGCACCCAACATGTTCTTTCTTTTTCCTCAACATCTCTTGTGACTGTCCCTTCTTGATCTGGGTGGCCATATTTTCTCCCCTGGATTATGACACCGCTCTTCCAAGGGTGTCCTCCTGGGGTCAGAGTAGCATTTCCCAAACACAACACTAAGCATTTCATTCTTTGCTTAAAACATCAAAATGTCAAGGCTTCTCACAGCTTTCTGAGTAAAGTGCACACCCTTTATTCTGTCCACAGCAATGGCCCTGTGACCCGACCCCCCCTGCCTTGTTCACCTCTTCCCCTCCACTTTCCCAGTGTCTTCTCTTTACAAGGCTGTGGAACTTGAGCCGCTGTTGAGCGTTTTCTGTGGGCCTGGTGCCAGAAGCCCTCCTCTGATGGCTCTCTCAGCACTAGCCTTTGACCTCCTTTTCCTGAGGAAGAGGCTGAGGTTGACAGGAGGGGCCTGGCCCAAGGCTACAGAGTCAGAGCGTAGTCTGCTTCACTTCTTACTGCTGCGCTGGCCGGCTGGGAGGCATGAGTGCCTGCTCTTTCTCTTCCAGGAAACTTTTCCAACATTCCAGGCACCTCCACAGCCCTATGGGCACTTCTCTCAGGACAGCAGCCACTGTAGCCTCCTGGGCTTCCCTGCAGCCCCCTGGTAAGCCACAGGGACTGTCCCTCAACTGGCTCTGCCCGCCCACCCCCCCCTGCCCCCCCGAGAGCCCACACAGGGCAGGGCATGCAGCAGATGTGTGCTGAAGCTTGTTAAATGGATGCGTGAGAAACTGGGCGAGTTCCACGTCTTGGGGCTGCCCTCTCCACCCACATGGCACATCCTTTAGTACTGCAGAGATGGAATAATGCAGAGGCTTAAAAAATTACCTCCATTTTAACTGACGTGTAGTGTTGTCCATATTTCAATACAGGTACACAATGCATGATGATTGGATCAGGGTAAGTGACATGCCTATCACCTCACACATGTATCATTTCTTTGCATTGGGAACCTTCAAAATCCTCACTACAAGCAAGTTTGAAATATTTTCTTAATTATTGTCAACTATCGTTACCATACTGTGCAGTAGAATAGTAGGAGTTACTCCTCCTACCAACTGCACCGCTGTTCCAGTGAATCACCCTCTCTCCATCCCACCCCCACGCTGCTTTCTAGAGGCTGGTGGCCACAGTTCTGTTCTCTACTTCTTTGAGATTCACTTTCTAGCTTCTACATAAATGAAATCATGTGGTTCTTGCCTTCTGTGCCCACTTATGCCCTCCAGTTCCATTTATGTTGCTGCAAATGACAGAATTTCACTAATTTTTGGCTAACTAATGTGCGAGTTTGCAAATGCAACACATTTTCTTTATCCATTTACCCACTGATGGACACCTAGGCTCGTTCTGTATCTTTGAAGTTGTGTTTCTTTCTCTGAGAAGTATGTGTTCATCTCAGCTGCCCATTTTTGCATTGGGTCTTTGAAATTGAGTGCCTGATGTTTTTTAATTCGCTATATGGTCTACATAGAAGACCTTTGTCTGAGGCACAGTCAGCTAAAATTTTTCCCAATTTGTGGGTTTTCTTTTTACCCTGCTGGTGATTTCTTTAGATGTGCAGAAACTTTTCAGTAGGATGAGATCCCAGTTGTTGATTCTTTGAAGTATTTCACGTGCGATTTGGTTTTTGCTCATGAACTCTCTGCCTATCCCTATGTCCTCAAGATTTTTATTTACTTTCTCTTCCAATAGATTTAGTGTAAAGAGCAACTGGGGTGAGGGAAAAGAGAAAAGAAAGAAGGGGAAATTATGTAGGTATGTACATATAGGATAGCTAACATAGTTGTACTACTGACTTCTATCACTTTACTGAAAGGAACAGTTAATGATTAATTATTTGATCAATCTTGCATATCTCTATTTGTTTTCCTAAGAAACCACTTTGAAGATATCAATATGTAATACAACAACCATTGTTAATTTCCTTCCACTTTGTCTGT